CTTTTCTTATCAAAGGTGGAGAAGCCATCAGTTCCCTGCTTTCTCAATCCTCTTTTACACTCCAGTCAATTCTAGGTATCTCATGGATTTTTTAAACCACAACCATCTGTCCCAGATTTTTTTTAATTTTTAAATTCTATCCTCTCCGATATAATATAGTTCTTCCATCCTATATATAAACTCCACTCTAATTATCCAATCTTTAATATTTGGGGGATCTTGAGCCTGCCAGTACCTAGGGATCAGTAATTTTGTCACATTTATTAAATTAAATATCATTGTGTTCTTATATTGTTTTATCGTAAGGTCAGTATTATGAAATAAACAGACCCAAGGATCCTTCAAAACACTAAATGGCAAAGCAGATCCAGATAAACCAGTAAGAATCTTATAAATGCAAGAGGTAACATGCCTTCTCATTGTATCTGTGCTAAAAAATTGTTCCAATGGATACATGTCTTCCACTGTCCTTAGTAGCTGTGGGAGTGCTGTAACTAAGTGTCTTAATTGATAATACCGCCATTTGTCAAACCTAAAAAAAAAATGTCCTAATTTTATAAATCTATAAAAGTGCACAATTCCCCCTTGATATTTTTTAAACATGTGTTTTTATCTTTTTTCCAGTTCCCTGCAATGTTCTCTTTCCCTGGAGGGAAGAGTTCTGTCCTCACCAAGGGTATTAACAGTGCGTTGTATTCCCACCCCCTTTGTTCATGGATACTATCCCATATCCTTGATACACATTTTGTGTTAAAGTGCTAGAATTTTCAGAACAATTTCTAAACTGTTGTGGAAGCCATATACAGTAATTGTATCAAACTGTGACTCACTCAATGCACTTCCCATCCTAACCCAAATTTTTCCTTGTGAGTTATAAATCCAATATGCTATCTGCAAAATCAACACTGCCCAATAATATCTCCTAAAATCCAGCACGCTCATGCCCCCATTCATTCTATCTTTACACAATACCTCATAATTCATTCTTGGTCTTTTATTTGCCCATATATATTTAAGTATCATCTTTTTTATTATCTCAAAGAATGACCTTGGTAAATATATTGGGAGCATTTGAAATTTATACAGAATCTTAGGGACTATCACCATTTTTAACAAATTTATACAACCAATCCAAGAAAGTGATCCAGTGGATATTCTCCACAAATCATCCTTCAGCTCATTTATTAATGGGATAAAATTTGTCTGATATATACTGTCTAAAGAAGGGGTTAACTTAACACCTAGATAACTCTTTTTTTCCCATACAAAAGGAAAAGCTTCCTGTAATCTCTGTTTGTCTATTTCTGGAACATTGATATTCAATATCTCTGATTTTGAGAGATTAAGAGTCTATGTTTTATCATTATATAGTCCAATCTTGAGTACATCCCATGCGCTGGAGAGAAGAAGGTGTAATCCCTGTCACTTGGATGTTTAAATTCTCCAAGAGTCCATCAGTTTAAACTGATGTAACATTTTTTTTATCGACTTCAAATGTTTACCGTCTCTCTGAGCTTGCGATGAGGTATGCATCTGAGAATCCATACAAAAATTAAAATCTCCTGCTACAATCATATACCCCATATATCATATATAGAGAAAACTCTAAAAGTTTTCTTAACAGTCCCTCCAAGTATATCATTGAATTCTTATTAGGGCAGTAAATATTTGTTAATGTACATTGTGTTCCTTGTAGTTTCCCTTACAAAAACAAAAAATGACCCTCAGGGTCAGTCAGTCTATCTCTGTAATAAATCTTACACCTTTTGAAAGCCCGATTGCTACCCTTTTTGCATGTTTAATTGGTGAATCCACATACTACCACATTGGGTAGTGTTTAGAAAATAATTTTACATTTGTGTTTTGTGATAAGTGCGCCTCTTGCAAAAACACTACATCAATGGAACATTGATGGATTTCCCTGAGAATCTTATTGTCAGGGAGCGAGGAGCCAGACAAACAAGGAGGTGCAATTAAAGGTAGGTTTATTATACAAAAACAAGACAGAGTCTATGCAAGTCCAACAGCAACAGCGGATGACTTGGTAGAACAGTAGCCAGGAAGGATGGTCGCCAGAGCCGGGCTCAGAAGCCAGGAAGGATGATCGCCAGAGCCAGGGCTGAAAGCATAAAGGATCCCACAATGCTTTGCAGACACCTAAGATGGATGCCAGCACATGGAGCAGCACAAGCCCTGAGGAAAGGTAGGACCTTGACACTTATGCCTTTTAGTGTTTGGGCCTTTTACATTATATGTCATAAAGTCACTCATACTCCTTGCAGGTATATAAGCTTTGTGACAAGAAGAAAATAATATTTTCGGGTGACCTTTTATCTTTCCACCCTCCCAACCCCCCTGCCCACTTTCCCTCTTCCCCTCCCCAACCCATACCTATTTTTAAAAACCCTCTGGCCCATATTCAAGCCTTGAAGTCTAAAGTAGGATATGTTCCCACAGTCAACTCCTCTCTAAAGGGGGGCACACCTATCTAGAACCTAGTTCCCGGCCCTTCAATCACATGTGAAAATGGATTTGGATGGTACGGGAATAAGATCCGATTTACCTGATTCCTATAGTGGTCTCCCTTTGGCCCATATTCAAGCCTTGAAGTCTGAAGTGGGATATGTTCCCACAGTTGACTCCTCTCTAAAGGGGTAAGGTACACCTATCTAGAACCTAGTTCCTGGCCCTTCAATCACATGTGACACCTTGAACCTTGAGCTTCCTGATGCCCCAATCTATAAGGAGAGAGAAACAGAGAGAGAAAGAAAAATGAACGCAATATTTTACCGCTCTCTCCTCTCTCACCCCCTCAACCCCTGCCTCCCCAAACCTCTCCCCCACCAACCACCTGTTGAATCCGCTAAGGAGGGAAAAAAAAAAAGAGGAGAATAGGGGGATGCAGAAAGACCACCCCACTATTCATAACCTTCCAACTTACTCTCTACTTGGGTACTATTAACCACTTATCTCTCCCTAAATCTGCACTCTCTCTGACCCCTTCAGACCATCCTGTGATTTCAATTTTCTGTAAATCATGTCTTTCATAAAAAGCATTTAAGCATACAGTAAGTATGTATGTTTTTTTCTTATTCCTCACTTCTCTTTTAACCAAAGCAAATTACAGTATTTGTACATGTAGGGATCTGCTGCCCTCTACTGTCTGTATTTGTAAATAACTGTGCTGTTTAACCTCTTCATCCTGCCCAGGCCAATTTTCAGCTTTCAGTGCACTCACAATTTGAATGGCAATTAGTCATGCAACACTGTACCCTAACAAAATTTGTATTATTTTTTGAGAGAGATAAAGATTACTTTTCGTGGTATTTAATTAGCCCTGGTATTTTTTTATTTTTTGCTATATAGGCAAAAAAAAATTGGAAAAAAACATGCTTTTCTTAGTTTCTATTATAAAATTTTGCAAACAAGGAGTTTTTCCTCTTCAATTTACGCCAAAATATATACTGCTACATTACTTTGGTAAAAATAAACCAAATCAGTGTATATTATCTTCTCTGTTTGAAAATTACATTGTTTACAAGATATGGAATTGACTCAAATTTCTTGAGGCCCTAAAATTCCAGGACAGTAGAAATGACCCCATTTTGGGAATTAGATAGTTCAAGGTATTTAGTAAGAGTCGTGGTGCGCCTTTTGAAGTTGTAATTTTTCCCCACATTTCTTTGGAAAATTAAGAAATTAAATAATTTTTTTTCACAAAATTGTCATATTTCATACAAGTTATTTCTCACACATGGCATAGGCATACTTGCAATTAGACCCCAAAACACATTCTGCTACTTCCTTCACAGTATAAGCATACCACATGTGTGAGACTTTTTCACAGCATAGTCACATACACCATCATCCAAGGAACACCTTAAGGGGCATCAATTACACATGTAATTTCCTAACTTCCTATCACACTTTTGAAGGCCCTGGTGCACCAAGACAGTGGAAGCACCAACAAAATGACCACATTTTGGAAAGAAAACACCCCCAATGCATTTTCTATTAGGCATAATGAGTATTTATGGCACTTTTTCCACACGTTTTTGGAAAATTTGGAAAGAAAATGAAAAGTTTTTTTTTGCACACAAAGTTGTCAATTTATAAAATATTTCTAACACACAACATGGACAAACCAAGAATAACACCCCAAATTACATTCTGCTACTACTCCTGAGTATGGCAATACCACATGCGTGACACTTTTTCACAGTCTTGCCAAATAGAGAGGCCCAACATCCAAGGAGCCCCTTTAGGTGTTCTAAGGGCATAAATTACACATCTAATTTCCTGACTACTTATCACAATTTTGGAAGCCATGGAAGACTATGGCAGTAGAAACACCCACAAAATTACCACATTTTGGAAAGCAAACGCCACAACATATTTTCTAAGAGACTTAAAGGCCCTGATTTACTAATGTGCATAGACGGCGTCTAGGCACATTTCCGTAGGCTAAAGTCTACTTTTCATTGGAATCCATCTACTTTTAGATGGCAAAGACATTTTAGATGGCAAAGACATATTAGAAATCAACTAACAAATAGAAGCGAAAGCGAATTTACTAATGGCCACAATACAGGAGTCTGTTTTTTTAGACAGACGTCCTAGAAGCATGTCTATCAGAATGAAAAATCACTGTAGAAACATGTTCACATTGAAATTTGCTTTCCCAAATATCTGGACTTCACTCTAAAGAATATATTACGTTTCCAAAAGAATTTTTCAGTGGGTAAAAAATATTTTTTTTCAAGGAATTCATAACAGTCAAGAACTAGATGCTTTTCCAACGTCTATGCACGGACAGAAATGCGCATGTGCAGAACAATTTAGCCGTCTACCGTGGGTGCTTTCTTTAGACGTTGTTTAAACCGCCTCCCGCCTGCCATATAGTACAATGATGGGCGCAAGGCAGTTCTCTGGTTCTGGGAGGATGTCATATGATGTCATCCCAATCTAACCGTGCATGCGTGGCTCCGGACACAGCGGATCACCAATCAATGGAAAAAGCCAAAGATGTCGGCTCAGTCATGTGATCAGCTGTGTCCAATCACAGCTGATCACATGTAAACAAGGAAACGCTGATTATCGGCATTTCTCTCCTCACGAGCTGTCATGCTGACATTTCAAGAGGAGAGTCAGTAATCGGCATCCCTCAGACGGGACATGTACACTGATCATCAGGGCACTGATGATCAGTGTGCCCTGATGATCTGTGTAGCCCCAGCAGTGCCACCTGTCAGTGTCCATAAGTGCCAGCTGTCAGTACTCATCCATGCCACCTGGCAGTGCCCATCAGTGCCACATCAATGCCACATTTCAGTGCCTACCAGTGCATATCAGTGCCCATCTGAGCTGCCTTTCAGTGTCACCCATCATCAGTGCCAGTCAGTGCCACCTATCAATGCCAGTCAGTGCCACCTATCAGTGCTGCCAATCAGTGCCAATCAGTGCCGCCTATTAGTGCCAGTCAGTGCTGCCTATCAGTGCCGCCTAACAGTGCCAGTCAGTGCCACCTAACAGTGCCAGTCAGTGCCGCCTATCAGTGCTGCCTTTCAGTGCCCATCAGTGATGCCTGTCAATGCCCATCCGTGCCACCTACCGGTGCCTCCTCATCAGTGCCCATCAGTGCCACCTATCAGTGTCCATCAGTGCAGCCTATCAGTTCCCATCACTGCAGCCTCATTAGCACACATCAGTAAAGGAGAAAAATCACTTATTTACAAAATTTTATAACAAAAACTAAGAAAAAACGTTTTTTTTTCAAAATTTTCAGTGGTTTTTGATTTGTTTAAGAAAAAATAAAAAACCCAGAAGTGATTAAATACCACCGAAAAAAAACCCTGTCACAAAAAAATGATAACATTTCATATGGGTACAGTGTTGCATGACCGCGCAATTGTCATTCAAAGTGCAACAGCGCTGAAAGCTGGAAATTGGCCTGGGCAGGAAGGGGGTATAAGTGCCCTGTAGGCTAGAGGTTAATAGTAAATCTCTGTGTGGAGTCCTCTGCAAGACGGCAATCGCGACCGTCAACTGTGTTTGACAAACAGCACTATTTGTAGCTAGGCATATCTTTATTATTATACAGGATTTATATAGCGCCAACAGTTTGCGCAGTGCTTTACAATATAAGGGAGCAATCACAATACATTTCAGTACAGAAGGAATGTGAGGGCTCTGCTCGTGGAGTTTACAATCTAAAGGAAGGGGGAGATGATACAAAAGGTGATAGCTGTGGGGGATGATCTGGTGGAGGTGATTCAAGTACAGTTCTTAGGTGGAGGTGGGGTAGGCTTCCCTGAAGAAGTGAAATTTCAAAGATTGCCTAAAGGCAGACAGGGTGGGGGCTGACCAGACATGCTGTGGTAGGGAGTTCCAGAGGATGGGGGAGGCTTTGGAGAAGTCCTGGAGGCAAGCTTGGGGGTAGGTGATGAGGGAGCTAGAGAGGAAGATATCTTGGGAGGAGCGGAGTGGGCGATTTGGCCGATATCTGTGTATGAGGTCGGTGATGTAGCTAGGGGCAGTGTTGGGGATGGCTTTGTAAGCTGTGGTAAGTATTTTGAATTTTAAACGTTGGATTAGTGAAAGCCAGTGAAGGGATTGGCAGAGAGGGGCAGCAGTTGCTGATCGGTTGGTAAGGTGTATGAGTCTAGCAGCAGCAGCATTCATAATAGACTGAAGGGGGGATAGCCTGTGTAATGGTAGACCAGTGAGGAGGGAGTTGCAGTAATTGAGGTGGGATATAACCAAGGCGTGGATGAGTTGTTTTATGGTGTCATTGGTCAGGAAGGGGTGGATTTTGGAAATGTTCCGGAGGTTGAGGCGGCAGGATTTAGCCAGTGAGTGGATGTGGGGCCCAAAGGAGAGGTCAGAGTCAAGGATTACGCCTAGCACCCTGGCATGAGGGGAAGGACCAATGGTTGTGCTGTTGACCTTAATGGTAAAGTCGTGAGTGGGGGATCGGGGAGGAGGAAATATTACAAGCTCAGTTTTTGAAAGATTGAGTTTGAGGTAGTGAAGTGACATCCATGCTGATATGTCGCTTAGTAGATTTGTGATACGTGAGGAGATTGAGGGGGTGAGCTGGGGAGTGGAGACATAGATCTGGGTGACATCAGCATGGAAGCCATGGGAGGTTATCAGTTTGGCCAGGGAGGAGGTATAGAGAGAGAAAAGGAGGGGCCCAAAAACAGAACCTTGGGGTACCCCAACAGAAAGGGGAAGAGGAGCAGAGGAGGAGGAGTTGTATGTGACACCGAAAGTGCGCTGAGAAAGGTAAGAGGAGAACCAGGAGAGAGCAGGGTCACGGAGGCCGATGGAGTGGAGTTTACTGAGGAGGAGCAGGTGGTCAACTGTGTCAAAGGCAGCAGAAAGGTCAGAAGTATGAGTATGGAGTAATGGCCGTTGGTTTTAGCAGTTAGTAGGTCATTAGTGAGTTTTAGTACGGCAGTTTCTGAGGAATGTTGTCGGCGGAAGCCAGACTGTGGGGGATCAAGAAGGTTGTTGACGGTGAGGTACCAATTAATTCTAATTTGATTTCCTTAGTTCTATTGATTCTATTTTATTTTCTTATCCTTTATAAAGATTTTATGTAATGGTTTTACATATTTCAAAGATCGAGATAATATATATTTTGACAGCTGAATATAAAAATAAAGGTCAGAAATTAAAAAAATTTAAAAAAATGGTGTGGGGTTCCCCTCCCATTCCTACCAAGCTCTTCGGGTCTGGTATGGATTTAGAAGGGAACCCCATGCCAAAATCCATACCAGACCCTTATTCGAGCATGCAGCCTGGCAGGTCAGGAAAGGGGGGGGACCAAACGAGCCCCCCCTTTCCTGAACCACACCAGGCCACATGCCCTCAACATGGGGTGCTTTGGGGCAGGGGGCTCCCCCCCAAAGCACCTTGTCCCCATCGTTATGGGGACAAGGGCCTCTTCCCCACAATCATGGGCTGTGGTTGTAGGGGTCTGCAGGTGGGGGGCTTATCGGAATATGGAAGCCCCCTTTAGGAAGGGGTCCCCAGATCCCGGTCCCCCCATGTGAATAAGTATGGGGTTCATGGTACCACTACTCATTCACAAAAAACAAACAGTGTAGTGTGAAAAAAGACAGGACACGGTCTTTGACAAGTCTTTTATTAAAAGGAAAAACTAAAAAAAGTCCCCTGCAGTAGATCCCATGTCAATCACGGTATCCGAAGCTACCCGAAGAATGAATAATAAAAAAAAAGGGTTCTGTTCCCAACGATGGCTTCCAGCCCTCTGCCTCTGAGGTGGCTTGACAGTTCTTAAGTATGTAAGGGGCGGGGCCACCCAGGACATCACGCATGTGGCATCATTAATGTTACATGGGACGCGGTCACATGAGTGATATCCATGGGTGGCCCTGCCCCTTACATATTTAAGAACTGTCAAGCCACCTCAGAGGCAGAGGGCTGGAAGCCATCTTCAGGAACGCAAACTTTTTTTAAAAATTATTTTTTTGGGTAGCGGCGACAGCTTCGGTGACGGCGGGCTTCGTGACTGACGTTGGATCTACTGCAGGGGACATTCTTTTCTTTTAATAAAGGACTTGTCGAAGACCGTGTCCTGTCTTTTTTCACACTACACTTTTTGTTTTTTGTGAATGTGGAGGGGTACCCCATACTCATTCACATGGGGGGGGGGGGGAATCTGGGGGCCTCTTTGCTAAAGGGGGCTTCCAGATTCCAATAAGCTCCCTTTTTTTTTAATTTTGGCGGTGGGCATGGCTTGGCGCATAGCTCCCGGCCCGGACCTCCACTGTAGGCATCTATATCCCTCTCACGGGCTATCTTCTGCCCTCCACATGGGCAAGAATCAACACCAGACCCCCCAGAGAGCACAGGGGGGCCGGTACAAGGTATGAAAATATTAGATATTTCACGAAAACTTAAGTGTGATCATTGCACTATTAAGAGATTTGTGGCCGATTCAGTGCACAGACGGGTTTGTGCAGATACAGGCACATTGAGGAAGATTTATGCCAGATCCATGCATCGGATCAAGAGAGCAGCTGATAAAATACCATTAAATAGCAGCAAACAGATATTTGAAGCTGCTAGTGCCTCTGGAGTCCCACGGACATCAAGGTGTAGAGTCCTCCAGAGTCATGCAACTGTGCATAAACCTTCTATTCAGCCACCACTAACCAATGCCCACAAGCAGAAAAGGACAGAAAAATACATGAAGACTAATTTTCAAACAGTCCTGTTCACTGATGAGTGCCGTGCAACCCTTGATGGTCCAGATGGATGGAGTAGTGGATGGTTGGTGGATGGCCACCCTGTTCCAACAAGGCTGTGACGTCAGCAAGGCGGTGGTGGAGTCATGATTTGGACTGGAATCATGGGAACAGAGCTGGTTGGCCCCTTTAGGGTCCCCGAAGGTGTAAAGATGACCTCTGCAAAGTATGTGGGGTTTATTACTGACCACTTTCTTCCCTGGTATAGAAGGAAGAACTATGCTTTCCGTAATAAAATCATCTTCATGCATGACAATGCACAATCTCATGCTGCAAAGAATACCTCTGCATCAATGGCTGCTATGGGGATAAAAGGAAAGAAAGTCATGGTGTGGCCTCCATCCTGCCCTGACCTCATTCCTATTGAGAACCTTTGGAGCATCCTCAAGCAAAAGATCTATGAAGGTGGGAGGCAGTTAACATCCAAACAGCAGCTCTGGGAGGCTATTCTGACATCTTGCAAACATATTCAAGCAGAAACTGTCCAAAAACTCACAAGTTCAATGGATGCAAGACTTGTGAAGCTGCTATCAAATAAGGGGTCCTATGTTAAAATGTATCGTGACCTGTTAAAATGTTTACAAAAGTTAAAATGTTGTTAAAAGTTTGATTGAAATTGCTTTTGATTTCAGTAAATATGCTGCAAACACAACAAATGACAATTTCAATTCTTTACAACCTATAAAGTGTTTTGAAACTTACTGTGCGTAATAATTTGGAACAGTGCATTGTAAGTTTTTTATGTTTAAAAAAAATACTGTTATCATTAGGAGGTTTGTTCAATAAAATTTGAATTGTACTCTTAATAGTTGATAACATGAGAATTATGCTGACTGTTATTTACATCAATTATTTAGGTAAATGAGAAAAATATAATTTGCATAATAATGGGTAATTCTCATCTGAGAGTGACCTCCCTCAAGGTTAACATTTTCCTGAAGGAGCCCTATGTCAGGACCGGATATATGCACCTCTGACGATCCCCATCTAGGTCTTCAGTTTACTATGTAGTGAAACACTGTATGTTATTTAGACAGTTTGCCTGTCTACTAGTTTCTTCTTCTCACTTTCCTCCTCTTTCTGTTCTTCCTTTCTCCGCTTTTTATCCTTTTTCCACTAGTACTTTCTTTAATCCTTCTTCCTTCCTCCTTCCTATTGTTCTTTTTCTTTTCTCCTCGGGAGTCGGGGACGGCTTGGCGGAGCACTGTCAGTGACACACTTTTTCCCTAATTTGCATTACCACGGACAAACATGACTCCGATTAAATTTTCCTTAATTGCAGGGGTTTTAACA